AATCTCTTTGTTAAACATTACACCAAGCTTTAAGATAAAGTTAAGATATACGGTACTTGACTAAATAAAGACAACACATTAAAAAAACGTAAAAAAACAAAAATAAGAACTATGTTAGGAGACTATCAAATCCCTGTAGCCAGGGTAAAATTTACTAGAGGTAGTATATAAAAAAAATGCACACATTATTTTAGATATAAAAATTTGATACTAGATATTCATTTTTTATTTAGCTGATAATAATAACTCAATGCTTCCAAAGAAGTTCATCTCGACGTCTGATGTCTTGTGTAAGCGACCTCTTGTACAACTGTCTTTGTTTCTGTTGCTTTTGATCTGTCACTCCATGTCACATTGCTCTTCTTTTTATTAATGAATTTTAGATTTTGTTTTGCCTATTGCAAATCTTAATTTACAGTCATTTTGTAAATATGTGCAGACCTTGTACATTTGATATATCTTAATAAAGGTTATAACCTTAGAGTTTTCAAACTTTGAATTTAAACAAGCATTAGTGCTTCCACAATATCCATTCTTTCTCGTTGTCATGGCCCCTCCTATTTGATAGAAGAGGGGATAAGTTGTTACTTGCAGTGCACTGAGACAGACATAACACTGTCAAACAGGTAATAAGGGACAGGTGGGGTAAATTGGGCCAGTTTAGCATTTAATAGAAATGTTGTAGCAGGCTAGCAGCTAAACTAGTTGAGATACCTATTGCAAAACTAATAATATTAGCTTAAAGTTAAAGGGAGCATGTGCCCTGAAATCTAAGAAATCACGTTTTCTGTGGTATGATCTCTTTTTGTAGAGGAAACAATTACAAAGAAACTAAAATGAACTGCACTAAGGTAGCTTTCATTGTTTTTTTTTGTGAGCTTTTCATTTCAATTGCATCATTTTAAGCTTTTATAAATTGCAATTTTATAACTAAATGTTATGTATATTTCTTTGAATTTTGACCCTTTATTTATGGATCATTATTCATGTTAATTGAATAGTGTTTGCATTTGTTTGAAAGCTGCAAACACAGCGCTTTCAATAAAGCAAACCTCATGGATGTACATGCTATATTTTTTGCGTTAGGCCATTTAAAGTCTAAAGAATAAGTCTAAAGATGCTTAATGGTACCCAAATTCAAGTAATTGGCAAATGGAAAAGCTTAGGATACAGTATCCAGCATTTTTTTGACATATTCATATTTTCTACAAGTTTTTACTTATTTTTGACTGTTACAACTTGAAAACCTATCTCCTCCTATAATTTTTCAGCTACAGCAATGAGAGATATACCATTCAATTTGTAATAAAAATCTTAATAGATCAACCGCTCATTTTTTTCCTTTTTGTTTTGATTATACCTATATTGAAAAAAGGGGTCAAAATTGAAAAAAAAAATAAATTTTGAAAAAATCAGAAAAAAACTTGAAAAAAATTGATCAAGTGAACAGATGATTGCTAGATATGGTCTTTACAAATCAAATGATATGCTTCTTGATGTTGTAGCTTGAAAATCCCAGGAGGAGATAGATTTCTAAAGTACGGTACCTCCTTTTTTACATTTTCTATGAATATCACATTATTTTTCATTTTTTAGAAAAATTTACACGAGAAAAAAAGTTTTCTCTCTCTATTTTACATACTTGCACCAAGTTTCATATTGATCCTTTTGTAAATATAAAAGTTTTCATTTTGTGGACATGCTCCCCTAAAACATTTTTCCTATCTATGTAGCAAAAAGCAAATTAAATCAAACATTTACTGCCTCTAAAAATCCATGAAAAAAAGTGTGAAAAGTGAGATTTTGGAAAAGTACTGTCAAATGGGGTAATGAGGGATGGGCAGGGTGAATCGGGACAGTTGTCCCACATGTCGTAGAAATGTTGTAGCACCTAAACTAATAAAAATATTGCAAAACTAAAAATAGTGGCGTAAAGTTTAACACTTTTACTATCTATGTAGCATAAAGTAAGTTAAGCAATCATACGTTTACTACCTCTGAAAAATCCCTGAAAAAAAGTGTCAAAAATGAGATTTTAGATACGTACTTCTCCTAAGGTCTTGCAATATAAAATATTTGCTGTATCAACAAATTTTACTTAAAAGTTGCACACAGGAGCTGGCTTATAACCATAGGTAATTGACAGAATTTGAATATCTCATTAAAAAAATTGCGGTCATTTCCGCAGGACAGGGTAATAAGGGACACCTCCCAGGGTAATAAGGGACACCCCTAAAAACTAATTTACAGTAGAACCTCAATTAGCAAAGGCTCCAGCTAACGAAAAAAATAATTAAAAACAAAAAAATTTGTTTATATTTACCTCGCTTAGCTAAAAAAATACACTAATAAGAAATTAATGCATCATTGGTCATCACAAAATTGTACAGAGAAAGTCATGGATAGAATTGTGCACCGGGCAACATAAAATGAAAAGTAATTAACCTAAACTATGATTTATTTCTCCAAAAATATGATTATTGTCACTAGAATATTCCTTTCAGTTTCAGGTATGTTTTTGAAATAATTTTGGTTAAAGTGAATTCACTTGACCCAATTAAAATGGAGAGAAATTACAAGCCATCCTGTAAGCTTGCAAATACAGAAAAGTGTTATACAGCTGCTGATATGAAGCTTGCAGTGGACAAGGTCGTTGTAAATGCTCAATGGCATGCTCATAGATACAGTAATAGGTACCTATCACATCAATAATATGGTAATGTATGGATATGGTAATATCACATCAATAAAGAAATAACAAGTAAGAATCACAGAAAATTTCATTAATTTTACATCTACATCATCTACAAAGGAAAAGGACTTCAGATTACTGTTAGTAATAGATGAGTGCACTCTGCATGCTTCAAACGTTTTAAAATTAAGTTATATTTCAAGTGTCCTGGATTACCCCCTTCCCAGGTGTAATTCGGGTTGCTTTTATTTTGCACCAGGCACCTTGCAAATAAAATATAGAATTTCTTCAGAGTGCTCATATGATTGCCCTTGCAAAAGACCTTTTAAATGAGCTCAAACTCGTTTATGGAATGTTTATTAATAAGAAGTTATCAACAAAAAATTACCAAAACCACCCCTTATTAGTACCCTGTTTGATTACCCTTAATCTACGCGGTGCCAGTTTTGATTAGCGCGACTTTTTTTTCACAACGCATCATTTTCCCGCCTCTAGCCAGAGGTGTTACGTTCGTAACAAAAGTGTTACTTTTTGCTTATTAGATCTTATGTTGTTACTTTTGTTACTTCTTTTGGAAAAATTCGCCAAATGTTGTTACTTTATGAATTTCAGCAATAATTCTTTAAATAAGGTCCCGTTCCGTAGGCACTCGTGCTGACTACAGAGTCGGTTTAACCGCGCCTTGTCTCGTTCATAACTCGTATGATCGAGTTCGGCAACGTTCGCCGATAAGTGCGCCATGCCGGTGCTCTAGCCCTTTAAGCCCTGGTGTGACGAATTCGTCACACAGAAAATAAAAGCTTCTACCGAGAGTAATTACATGCTTGGAGTCTAGCCGCGAGTGTGACGGTAGCGTCACATGTTGTGAACTCGTTCGAACGACGTTCGATTGAGTAGGCGCGTCGCTTCTGCCAGTTTAACACAAAGACTGCGCGTGATCTGAAAAGTAATTCAGATTGTTTTTTCACTTTCGAAACATAATTCAGTGCGTAAAGGGCTAGTTACTCGTTAGCCTTCAACTGGTCAAGATCGATGCCATATCTACTGCTCACTTTTATCAAACTACATAATTTTCCTTTCCTTTGCTATTTTTGAGGATTCATTATAATTATTCCCATATATTCTTAAGTTTGATTAGCGCGGTTTTGCTTAACACCGTAAAACTCGGGGATTTATTAACCGCGTTAATCAAGGGATTGCTGTAATATAAATTACAGAATAAAACTGTACGAAAGATTTCAGTGTAATGTTGTCAACCTCAGCCTGTTACTAGTGTCAACATGTTAGTTGTGTTAAGTTGTTACCAGTTACCACGTACAGGTATTTTTTCTTGTTCCAGTTTGTTTACAAATATTTTTACACAGTTATTTTTATGTTCCATCTTCCCTACATGGATGTCTACTTTGATCTACCAATCTCAAAAATAATCCACATATATATACAAAAAAAAGACTGATTTTTATATGTATATGTGGATAATTTCTTAGATTGGTAGATTAAAGTTCACATCCATGTAGGGAAGGTAAAACATAAAAATAACTGTAATACTTCTATTTACTGTATCTAACCCTGGGGTAACCCATACTAGTTCGGTTAGGTTAATTGCAATAAAGTTGCATTGATATGTTTTAAAAATGTTGTATTATCATTAAATGTTAATGAGTAAATCCCAATAGCTGAACAATAAATATTTAGAGATTTCCAATAATTTTGGCCATTGTAGCGGCTAATGTAGCGCGCTACATTTTACTGTAGCGGTAGCGGTAGTGCCCGTTACAATCTAGTGGGTGTAGCGGTAGCGGCAGCGCCCGCTACATTTAGAGCATGTAGCGGTAGCGGTAGCGCCGCTACATTTCCAAGTAGCGCTGCCCAGCTCTGACTACATGCCATGTAGCAGTTTTAGCTTAACACGTTGACTACATATTGGTACATATGCGTACCACGAAATGTATTTTACCAGGAGGTAGTGGTACATAATTCAGGTTGCCTAAAATCGGCCAAATCCGAGAACAAAAAAGGCCAAAAAAGGCCGATAATTCAATGTATACTAGTTTATTTGTAGGTTCCGCTATAAAAATTCCATTTATTTTCTTTTTGCAGTATTTAAAATTCAATTAGGAAGTACCCCTGTCATAAATTTTAGCCAGCCAACGCAATTGAGAAAAACTAAATCATGGAATTCGTCCGGAAAAAATGACCGTCTGGCAACCCTGCTTAAAAAAAGTACAAAAAATAAAATAATGGTACAATATGATGCAATCGTAGTCAATGTGTTAAATTATTTTAATTTTGTGACAAATGTTTAAATTAAACCTTTTGTTTAAGCCTCTACTGCACTTTATAAAATTCCCTACAGGGTATCCCTATCATTACTGCCAACATTATAGAGTAGAAACTTCAACCACATTGATTTACAATTCTCATCGCATGTGATGCTGGCATCCATTACTAAAGAATGCATGGTTATGCTGCACCAACTCTCAGATGCTGCAGTCTGCAGTGGCAGACGCCCTGAGCCAAGCCTCTCTCGAGCATCTCCTGGTGCAGTCTGCAGTGGCAGATTCCCTGAGCCAAGCCTCTCTCAAGCATCTCCTGGTGCAGTCTGCAGTGGCAGATGCCCTGAGCCAAGCCTCTCTCAAGCATCTCCTGGTGCAGTCTGCAGTGGCAGATGCCCTGAGCCAAGCCTCTCTCAAGCATCTCCTGGTGCAGTCTGCAGTGGCAGATGCCCTGAGCAAAGCCTCTCTCAAGCATCTCCTGGTGCAGTCTGCAGTGGCAGACGCCCTGAGCCAAGCCTCTCTCAAGCATCTCCTGGTGCAGTCTGCAGTGGCAGATACCCTGAGCCAAGCCTCATTTTAGCAACTCCTGCTGCTGGCAAAGTCAAGTCTGAAGGTAAACCAAATTCCATGTGCCTCATTAATTTGAACATCAGAGGAAAAATTGAGTTCAAGTCCTAAATTTCTTTGGAGTTTCACTATGATATTTGATAAAATAGTATGAGAATATACCACCTCATGAATCACTCATTAGAGTGTTATTAAATTTGTTGTCGAAAGCTCACACGACTACTTAGTTTCATGACTATTATATGTATTTACTGTTAAATGTCTTGCTCTGCTGTATAATGATAGAAGGATATCAATGTACTTATTTTCCAGCTTTGGAAATGGTTGAACCTTCTCCGGTCATCAAAGTTTCTGCTATCTCCATCAAAAAAGAGCTTGATGATGAAACTGAGGACTTATCCATCAAAGAAGAGACATTCTTGTATGGAAATGAGGTAAATTGAGTCAATATTTTAATGAATATTTTGTAAAGCATTTCAAATGACAGCAATGGCACCATAGATCTTCAAGAGATAAATCTTTTTCCTGCATAATGTCTTCCTCGTTATATAATTATTATTAGGGATTAGGCACGTGTGTCTCAATTTAGTAATTGGCAAGACGTTATGAGAAATATGGTTTAGAAATACCTACCTTATATTTGCTTTTCTAAATAGAAAAACACAAATTTGTACTATTGTTGCCTGTAGCCAAATAAAATTGAAACGTAATGACCTTTGTTGGCAAAATTACACCCAGAACTGTCTTAACTTTTCTTTACTAAATGGTTCTTCTCTGCTTGTCAATTACTAAATGAAAATTGAGTACAAATTTCAAAGAAGATTAATGGAGAATTAGCCACCACATAATTTTCCTCGCGTGTCAATAAATATCATCTCTTCCACTCAAGTGATGAGACTATACAAGCACAATTCAATGCAATACAGTACAATCTATCACGTTTATAAATGCCAATTTTGGTGCAACTGAAGCCAAAGTGTGCACTTGCTTTTGAAATCGTCATTCGAACTCGTTTATTCATTCTAAATTTTAAAATGGTAGAGTGAAATGTTTTTACTCATAAAGCATTGATTTGATAAGATATTTCATATCCAGAAATTTGTGATTCTACCATTCAATAGCTTTTGAGAAGTAGGAACTTACACAGAATTTTATTCAGATTCCTATATTTTATCCTTCTTCATAAATTGCACACATCACTGCCAGCAACATGACATCGTCCTCCACTTCTCCGCAGGCTTGCCCAACTGAACAGCTCAGCCATGCACCTGCATTCTCCTCTTGTTTGCCATGCAAGATGGAAGTTCATGTTGAGGATCATGGCAACCACCCAAGCTCATCACAGAACATTTCTGCTCTGTTGGTCAATCAGGTATATTCACTAAGCCTAATTTTTATGATTTTTTTAAGATTAATTTTTACTAAGCGCTAATTTTTATGATTCAAGATTTTTCCCAACTCTTTGAAATTGCCAATCTTTTGTTTAATTGTTGGTATTTAGTTATAAAGTGAGCAAGTGGAACTGTAAAGATTCGAACAAATGCACTTTTTCTCAAAATAATAATAATAATATTGATAATAAAATTATTATTATCATTGATAAATAATAATAATAATATTTTGCAAAAATTGATGGTATTACTTTTAATTTCCCCTAAGCACGGATTCCATCCTTGAACTAGACATCTAGTTCAAGCAGTGTAGGAAGTTGTAGAAAGGAAGCTTGAGCCTATTACATTAAACAGAATTTCCCCACTCTGCTTGTGTTTCTGGGATCACATGCAAGGAAGATTGGGAAAAGTCTACATGATATGGGAAAGGACCTGTTCAAGATGGATTTCTTTGTGTTTTAACAGTAGTTCTTTCATCTTGAAGTTGTCCATGGTCTGTTTTGGTGAACATATTGTGTGCACTCACAGCAAGTAAATCCCTACTTCTTGTGACATTAAGCTGTTATGAATAAGGAAACAAAATTATCAGTACGATATTGAGCATTAGAGGAGTGAAACTCCACTTCAAAAAATGAATATTTTATTCAGCTTTTATTCTGAGAATATAGTTTCATGCCATAAAAAAGTGGGTACTGCCTTGCTGCATAAGTGTCACAACCCATTAGCCAACCCACAGCTTTATTGGAAGTTGGCTTCCGAATTTAAAAGTTTATGTATCTTAAACCAATATATTTAACTTTACATCAGTAATAATTTGCAATACAGTTTCGGTTTCATCCATGATTAAGGTTGAAATCTCATATCTACTGCTCACGTTGAGAGTAAGTAATTGTAACTCGCTTATTTGCACAAGACAGGAATTAATGCTGCGAGGTCCCTGCATGAACCAGAATAGACTGGTAAATTTCAATTCTCTCTTTATATATGTCAAAAATTTTTATTTTAGTTTGAGACAACTAAAAGATTCTATGAAGAATCAAAGCTGTTGGATGGATATGGCTGTTAATAATAATGTGAATTGTTTTACTTTGTTTTTATAACTAGTGCGAAGCTGGTGGGTCAGCATCGGCATCAGGAGATGCTGCTGACAACGCTGGCGTCTCTGGGGCGTCCAACTCCAGGCAAGGCAGGAGGCTTGGTTGTTCCCAGCGTGGATTGGTGCCTGCAAGTGCAGGTCAACAGCAGCAGCACATTCATCAAGAACATCTTGCTTCAGGATCCCATCGTTCCTCTGACTGCGACAACACCTCTAGTTCAGGGAGTGGACTGCAGCAGAACGATAATGCTATGCATTCGATAAAAGACTCACTGCAGTGCCAAGACTGTGGTTATAAATGTACCACGAAGAAATCAATGCAAAAGCATATAGCTTGCAAACACTTACGCAGAAGTAAACACCAATGTCACTTCTGTTTAAATTCGTGTGCCACCAAAGCTGGACTCAAACAACATATTCTCTTGAGGCATCCTCAGGGAAATTCACAGAAATTTTCTAATGTTAAATACGTTGATGGTTGCAAAAAAATCCTGCACAAGCATTGCATTTCTAAATTGTCAACAATGAAGAAAATGGGCTGCACTGAGTGTGATTTTGCTTGCACTACAAAAAGAAGCTCGAAAAGGCATTTTCTTTTTAAACATTCAACAGAAAAACTTATTCAGTGTTCTGAGTGTGATTATTCTTGCATCGCAAAAAACTTGAAACGTCATTTTCTAAATATGCATTCAGCAGAAAAACCTTTTCAGTGCACCGAGTGTGATTATGCTTGCACGACAAATAGGAACTTGAAGCGACATTTTCTTCAAAAGCATTCAACAGAAAAACCTTTTCAGTGCACTGAGTGTGATTATGCTTGTGTCACAAAAGATAGGTTGAAACAACATTTTCTAAATAAGCATTCCACAGAAAAACCTTTTCAGTGCACTAAATGTGATTATGCTTGCACGACGAATGAGTACTTGAAACAACATTTTCTTAACAAGCATTCAACAGAAAAACCTTTTCAGTGCACTGAGTGTGATTATGCTTGCTCTGCAAAAAGGAACTTGAAACTCCATTTTCTTCGCAAGCATTCAACAGAAAAACCTTTTCAGTGCACCGAGTGTGATTATGCTTGCTCTACAAAAGGGAACTTGAAAAGTCATTTTCTTCACAAGCATTCAACAGAAAAACCTGTTCAGTGCTCTGAGTGTGATTATGCTTGTGTCACAAAAGGCACGTTAAAACAACATTTTCTTCAAAAGCATTCAACGGAAAAACCTTTTCAGTGCACCGAGTGTGATTATTCTTGTGTCACAGAAATGAGGTTGAAACGACATTTTCTACATATGCATTCCACAGAAAAACCTTTTCAGTGCACTAAGTGTGATTATGCTTGCACGACAAATGGTAACTTGAAACAACATTTTCTTCACAAGCATTCAACAGAAAGACCTTTTCAGTGCGCTGAGTGTGATTATGCTTGCTCTTCAAAAGGGAGCTTGAAAATTCATTTTCTTCGCAAGCATTCAACGGAAAAACCTGTTCAATGCACTGAGTGTGATTATGCTTGTGTCACAAAAGGCATGTTAAAAAAACATTTTCTTCAAAAGCATTCAACAGAAAAACATTTTCAGTGCACCGAGTGTGATTATGCTTGCTCTGCAAAAGGGAACTTGAAACTTCATTTTCTTCACAAGCATTCAACAGAAAAACCTGTTCAGTGCTCTGAGTGTGATTATGCTTGTGTCACAAAAGGCACGTTAAAACAACATTTTCTTCAAAAGCATTCAACGGAAAAACCTTTTCAGTGCACCGAGTGTGGTTATGTTTGTGTCACAGAAATGAGGTTGAAACGACATTTTCTAAATAAGCATTCCACAGAAAAACCTTTTCAGTGCACTAAGTGTGATTATGCTTGCAAGACAAACGGGAACTTTAAACGACATTTTCTTCACAAGCATTCAACAGAAAAACCTCTTCAGTGCACCGAGTGTGATTATGCTTGCTCCAAAAGGGAACTTGAAACTTCATTTTCTTCACAAGCATTCAACGGTAAAACTTTTCAGTGCACTAAGTGTGATTATGCTTGCACGACAAATGAAAACTTGAGACATTTTCTTCACAAGCATTCAACGGAAAAACCTGTTCAATGCACTGCGTGCGATTATGCTTGTGTCACAAAAGAGAGCTTGGAACAACATTTTCTAAATAAGCATTCAACAGACAAATCAATTTAGTTTTTTGAGTGTGATTATGCTTGCACTGCTAGAGCACTTGAAAAAACATTTTTCCTGCAAACACTCGTCAGAAAAATCCCCCCAAGTGTGTTAATACTTGTATCAAAAATGCATTTTTGAGAAGCTTCTGTTCTCCAGACAAATATTATTAAAACGATTCATTGAACCAAGTGTAAATGTGCATGCTGGGGGCGTACCGGTCATGGAAAACCTGGAAAGACATGGAATTTGAGTTTTCATTTTCCAGGCCTGGAAAGTCATTGGATTTCATTTCAGGTCATGGAAAGTAACGGAAAAAAAGCGCTTTGATTTCCCTCATTAAGGTTGATGTTGGTTACATGGCCAGGACCGCAATAAAACAACAGCTTGCAGACAAGAAGGCAAGTGCACTGCAAGTTCTCACTTTCAAGACATGAGCGCGGACTTCATGCAGGCTGTAGTCCAAAAGCTACAGGACAAGAGCCCTATCAGGTATGGCCTTTGTAGGAACCTGAGATGGCTGGTGCCAAAAGTCATCGTAAAGAAGGAGTGTAAGGAAGCCGACAAGACACAGTAGAACTGTCTCACTTTGCTTGTTGATGCAAAGAGATTCCCTAACACAGATGTGTATGGTATTGTGCGATAAGATGTGCAACTTTAGAGATGAATCACAACATTGCAGTGAACTGAACGCACAGTTTCAAGCATTTTCAACTTCTGATCGACTGGACACTTTTTAGCATGCCATTCTGTCAAAGAGCACCTACAAGAAGCTGGAATGTAGTGCAGATGCTCATGCTCCTGTCTCATGGCCAAGCCACGGTTGAAAGAGTGTTTTCGTTCAACAAGGAAATCATGACACACAACATGAAAGAGCGAACGTTGGTTGCCCCGCGTGCTGTGGTTGATCATGTTGCACATGTTGGTGGCCTGGACAAGATGACCATCACCAAGAAGATGCTGCTTGCAGCTGGCAGTGCCAAAACAGTCTAAAATAATTATGTGGCAGAAGAGAAAGAGCAGAATGCGAAGGCCCAGAAAACCCAGGAGAGGAAGGCTCCGTTGGATGAGCTAGATGAACTGAAGAAGAAGAAAAGGCATACGGAGGAGGGCATCAAGACGCTTGAGCAAGCAACAGATGAATATGCAGAAGCAATGGAGAGTAGGGTGATTTGAATATTATCGCGACGTTCAACGCCATGAGGCGATTTTGAAAACAAAGCAACAGGAGCTAGACAATCTTGAACTGAACATTAAAGAAAAAGTTCATGAAATAGATGCCAGTTGAAGGTTAGGGTAATGGTGTTGAAAAGTGTTCTGAACTGTATTGACATCATCATGTACAATCTTGTGTGGATTACTCAATATTTGTTGTGATTTGACGCCATTGAATTCATAATAATACCAGTGTGGGCTTTCTTTTCAGATTTGTGTCATTTTTGTTTCTCTGTGTCTGCCTGCTCTACGCATTTACACGTTTGCTATTTATCAACTGTAGGAGATGATAGAATATGCATGGTTAGTCTTTCAGTCATGCTAAACCTGTCGTAAACGAGTCTTGGAAAATTATATTGATGGGCATGGAAAGTCATGGAAAAGTCAGGGATTTTTTTCTAAATACCAGTACGCACCCTGTTAATGGATTTCCGTTATTCTTATATGGAATTCAACATCAATCTCCCAGTTGGGAGATTTTGCTGAATAAAATTTGTTTGGTAAACCTTCTAATGTTAAAGTAATATTGCCGTAAGTTAACAAATAAGGGATATATTTGTATAACTTTCTTATTTCCGGAAAGCCTTCCCCCCAGGGGGGACTTCTGACGGGTGTCTGTGCTCGTCAGAAGTCCTATGGGATTTCGCGTTCCTAGGGGGGATTGTTCCTGAGCGCCCCACCGCTGAGCTCGCGGTGTCTGACTGTAGGTCTCAGTTGTGGGGTTAAGTTATTATGTAGGCAGGATTCCTTACATTTCCCGTCTCTGTCTCTCTCGTGCGGGCGGCCGACGTCCCGTGTAAGCGACCTCTTGTTCGAGTGTCTTCGTTTCTGTTGCTTTTCACCTGTCCCTCCTTGTCACTTCGTCTATTTGAAATGCTAACGCTGCTTCTTTCGAGCCAGCTTCAGCGGGCTGGACATCTGAGACCTTCCGCCCCTTGTGGGTGATGAATAATTGAGACCTTCCACCTCTATGGTGATGTTCATCTTGACTTTCGGTGCGAGATAGCTAAATAGCTGAAGCGCTAGTAAACATTTGGCCACTAAACTAACTAACTAACTCCGGAAAGCCTTGTTCATGAGTAAGGTTGAATTTGTGTTTAATTTGATGCTATGGGACAGATTCATTTATTTTGCTTACTCTATGTTGCAACAAATGATAAACAAAACTTGGCGACACTTTCAGTCCCAGTGGCCGAGGTTGTGTCCAACATGTTTTTTAGAACGGTAATTGAAAGTAAATGTTCATTCTTCATAATATTTTTTTTTTCTTCATGAAGGTAGTTATTATATGATGCTCAAGATGATGATAATACGGAGTTTAGTCAATTAAGACATAAATTCTTGATTTTTATTCCGTTCACTAATTGTAGTCGATACGTTTATTGGCAGACTTGTGTGCTATTTATACACGGTGCGTTTCGTTAGTGCGTTAGTAGACGCGTCATAGGGGGTGTTGATTGGGGTGGGTGGTCTGAGAACTGTAAAATGGGTTGAGTGGTGCAATGGGATGAGTGGTATAAATGGGTTACCTGGTATAATTGTGGTGGGTGGTTTTACTAATGTGAATTTGTTGACCAGGGTGAGTGGGTTCGTTCGCTGTGAACGGTTGAGTAACAAGAGAGAGTTGAGTTCAGCCCATCAGTGATGGATCAGCCCCAGAGGGAAGAAGGAAGAGCGCGCCCTTAGACTGCGAACAGGCCTACCCTCGCCGCCCGATCGGTTGCAGTCTTTGTGCACTTTTTTTGTACACGGAAAAAAATACGTGAGATTATTTTCTCAAAGACAAGCGAATATATTGGAGCATTTGATCCGTGAGTTCCATTGCAACACGCCTGGACGCTTACACTATACAGGGTCTTCGTAGTTCCACATTATCACGCTTTAATTTTTTGTCATTCTTTATTTACGGGGGCTAAATTATGTTTTTAGTAAAGGTAATTTTTCGTATAAATAAGATATATATAATTAAGTCGGTGAAGAGAACACAAGGAAAATTTATTTAGATCAACTCGAAAAGCAAGAACATTACAGGGTGGCCCAGTGGGTAAAGTTCAGAGTACCATGATTGACGCAGAGAGGCGCGGGTTCGACCCCAGCTCTGTGCGCCAGTTTCTGGTCAGAATCGGCAAGGAGGCCGGGCGGTTAAGTAAAGTAGAATTGTAGCAGTGAGTTGCGAGTTCGAGACCGCAAAATGCCGTGAATGTTCTGCGATGTTAAGAATCGACGACAGGCCTACGGCCTAATAAACGCTGAAACCGCTAAAAAAATTACAAAGTAGCGATAACAGGTCAGACTTGCCATAAATTCCAATGCCTATATGCTACGCTATTATACTGGTTATATGAGTCGGATTTGATCCGCAAAAATTTCCGGCATCACGTACGCACGGCTCGGAATTGTTGTTTTCGGTAGAAGCTGTGTTGTGAATGACAGCCAGCTGTTTTTAAGCACAAATAAACCCTGTATAGGCAAGGCGCTGCATGGACTAGTTTGCAGTGCTCCCATACGATGAAATAAAAAAGAAGAGAGCACTCGTTGCATTCAACGAGTAAACATCTAGCGTGTTTCGCTCGTGACTGCTTAAATTTAACTTGGAAATAATCTCGTATACTGTACATCTATTACATTGACCATACTTCTATACATATATACGACGAGTATATAAGCGATGGGTCCGTTCAGACTCAAGAACCTGGCTGACTTTCTCTACCTTCTTCTCTTTATGAGAAGAGGCAGTAGGTAGGAGTAGGTCTGTGATCCAGCGGCCAGCATAGGTTTTAATTTATGTACTAACTACAAAAGGCACTGGAAAATTACTTAAAGGCACTTATAGTGGTTGAGATTTTGAGTTAGAAGTTGCAACGGCCGTCCCTCTTCCCGAATTAGTTGATATAAAAATTATGTAGGTTGGAGTTAAGACTGAAGATTCAGCGATTTATCCAGGGTTGGAAAATGATGGCGCCGTTCTAACACATATATGTGTGGTCGTTAAAATAAACATGACATGAACACAATGGAATAACCATGTTGAAAGAATACACAGAACACAATTAGTAATTCAGTCATGACAGTAACTCTGAAATATTATATTACATTAGAAGAATCGAATTCTGTAGAAGAATTAAGCAGTTTACTCCTTAGCTGTTAACTCCATGGCGGAGTTAACTGCTAAGGGGTACCTAACTGTTAATAGTTACTGTTAACTGATAATGGTAACTCCATTAAAGCGTGATTGGCTAATGTTGCATACTGGGCATTCTAAACAAATTCCACAATTTTGATGGCACGATTTATACATAAAATTATTTTTTGCCATTTACTAAACTTTTTATTATTTAGAAATTATACGAATTTTATTCGTGCATGATAATTGATGATTTACTGACTGGATGTTTTTATAATGGTTTAACTTCTATTTATTTAACACTTCTATTCTATAGTGAAATTGATGAAATCAGCAAACGAGATCTAGATAATTAAATTACATATAGTTACAGAGGTTAATAATCACGAGTTTGGAGTTGTAATAAAATTATTTACGACTTGCACAAGTAAAGATAATGCGAGATATGAATTCGAGTCACTAAAGACAAAAAAGAAGCTTTCCTTAGTCATAGCGGACACAAACGGCAGATTGGCAAAATATGAAAAGAATCTGATAGCTTAATCATTCCAAGAACGCGTTCAAGAACGGACTAGACAAGGCCATCCATGAGCATATGTTTAGTCTTAAAATGCCTCGTACCCTACCGAACAACTGATATCTAGAAGCGATTTTAAACCTACCGTCCGTTGAAAAGATGTGATCAAAAGGCCAGTCTAGTCAAGAAAAGCACAAGAATCGGCGACAGGCCTATCCAGGCCTATTTTTTAATGCCGAAGATACTATACTATACTAAGAGCTGCTAACATCCAGAAAACTCCTAGATTTTCAGCCAATCGAACGCAGTACAAATCATTTCCAACCAACGCATGCGATAAATCATCTTGAAACAATAATACATTGATAATTAAGCAACTCAGGATGGAACTTTGAAATGATGCTGAATATATTATTTTCAATCCACCGTGGCCGTTTTTATTTTGTCCAAAAATTCAGTTAAAAGAAAAATTGGAGGAACATAAGTTTCACTCAAAAGTATAAATTTGAAACACTTAGATTTCAATTAGACTAAATATTAAATATTAATTCATTTACAATTTGTATCTATATATAAGTTGAACGCAACAAATTAACCTTCATCAAGCCAGTGTATGCAGTGTACCTCGATATTGCCAAAGCATTTGACAGTGTCCCACATGAGCGGCAGTTGCGTAAAGTGAAGTCATTGGTAATAGAAGGAAACGTATTGCAATGAATCAGAGATTTTCTAGTAGATAGACGACGAGTCAGCATTAACGGAACCGTGTCAGACTGGGCATCATTGCGCAGTGGCGTGCCACAAGTAAGCGTTCTTGGGCCTCCTTTTGGCGTTATTTGTTCGTGGCTTTAATAAACGATCTGCTAGGAGTGTCAATCTATTGACATTTATTGACATTTATTATTTATAATAAATGTTAGTGACAATTTTATTGTCACTATATATGTCAGTGACACAAAAGCTTGTAATACGTACAATGGGGGATGGGGCAAGCAAAGTGCAAGTGCAAGTTGATCTTGGTACTTTAGTTAACTGGATTGAAGCGTGACAGCCGCGTTTTAATGCTGACAAGTGTAATGTACTTCACCTCGGCATGAATGATGAACAGCAAGATTACAGTATGAGAAGACATGGCTGCTACGAGAAATTAATGATTGAAAAAGTCTAGCGCGGAAAATTTTTTGGGACTTTATGTTGACAACGCTCTGAAATTTCTAGGCATATTGAAACGCAAGTTAATAAATTCAATAAACAGGTCGAACTTATCAGACGCTTTTACGAGTTCCTAGATGCAGCTATTTGACGCTGTCATGCGCCCGAATCTAGAGTTTGGCAACGCTGTGTGTTCACTGAAACTTGAAAATGACAAAAATTAAGTAGAGAGTGTTCAAGGGCAAGTCCTATGAAGAAAGATTATGAAGCTTCCAAGCCTCAGTTATCGACGTTGCGTGGGGACCTCATTGAAGTATACAAGTATACTCATGACTTATACAAGGTCCCAGAAGGATTACTAGAATTCTTAACAAGAACCGACACCAGGGGCCACGGCTATAAACTAAAAAAACTGCGTTGCATTTCATTCACGCGACAACATTTCTTTTCGTTTCGAGACACCGAAATGTGGAACAGCCTCCCTGACAGCATCGTTAACGCATTCAAGAATAAACTGGACAAGGCTGTGCAAAAGTATATGTTCGGTCATGAAACGTCTGACACCTTGCGGAAGTCCAGTAATGAGGTAAAACCTACGTCAATTGAAAAGAAATTATCAAAAGGCCAGTTTTTAGATCTGTGAACTAGTCACGAAAAGTACAAGGATCGGCGAAAGGCCTAACCAGGCCTATTTTTCACCGCCGAATGCAATGCTATGCTAATAAGACTTTTTTAAACACCTGTTGGAGGTCGACAGGGATTTTTTTCTAATGAATCTGTAGGTTTACGGTTAAAAACTATAGTTACGAAAAATTTTGGCCCCAAAACAATCAGAACTTGGTAGTCTGGAATTAGGTTCAGATTTCTATGTTCTTCAAAAGAAAAAAATTAAGTACGGAGTGCACAGAAAATCAACTTGAACACCACACCACTTCAACATCTGTTGAAAGTGGTGCTGATGGCTCTTAAAACACTTGCCGACTGGGCATGTGAATTACGCTGCAAATTTTGGTATTTGGTGACAAGCAGACGAATAATAACGAACAGACATTGGATGAGCAGACATCGGATGGGCAGACATTGGATGATAACAGTGACACTAGAACAGTGACACTAGAACAGTGACACTAGAACAGTGACACTAGAACAGTGACACTAGAACAGTGACACTAGAACAATGAGGATAAAAGCTATCGTAGGAAAAAATTATTTAAATAATTGAAAATTTTTACTCCTACTTTCAACTGAACGGGGATTAAATCCACAATATTTGTTCAATTTTTTTTTCATCAAATCTTTATTCATAGAGGAAAAACTGATGCTATTAAACCTAGAACCACAATTTAAACAAGATTTCGATTAAATCTGGTACGATCTATTTTCTTATCAACAAAAAATTAACTTAAATTATATTTTCATTTTAAATTCAGTGTTGTGGTAACATTTCGCATATTATTTAATTTATATCTCGTATGATCGACCGAACTCGTTCGACGAAACGCGTTCGTAACGTGCGTCGTCGACGCTCGTGTTTGTCTGGCGTTGCCTGGCAACCCTTACAACGTGGCAGCAGTGTTGCCAAATGTCGAGAAATTTCTGTAATAACACAGAACTTCCACTCAACTCAATATAGCAGAACTACACCACTTAGAATTATTGTTTAGAAAAATATACATCATGCGTATAAATCAAGGTTTAATGGTTATAATAGTAATAAAAATAGGTCTCAATATAGAGTTACCCGCTTAAGATGAAATTTACAGATTAAATACACAGAAATTATTTGTTAGAGTGGCAAGAATTTTTTCTGTGTTATCGATAGCGCAGGCTGACCGTTATCATGCATAGCTAAGCTTGGTGACGGCAGAGAAGGTTGTTAGCAGTCAGCGAGGCTGGAAAAACGCATTTAACTCATAATTCAAGGTAATTCCTATTAGAATTATTCACAATTTATTGAAACACTGTGTAATTTAAGTGTGGTAACTGTTATTTGTTTCGGTGATAAATGTATAAGTTAATTTAATGAAGTCTAAACTTGCCTGGTGAGAACTGGAATCTATGGACATTCTCGATAAAGTTTCTGTTGTAATTGTCTCAAAATTTAATTGTTTGCCTATTGCAATTGATATGATGTGTCATGCGTGATGTGAAGAAAAGAAGTTCGCTTATTTTGTGAACAATTGGAAACTATAAATTAGTTCAGTTCAGTTGGAATTTTGTAAATGAGGAAAATTCTAGTTTTACATTAAAAGTAAAGCTAGTTTTTAGAACTACGTTCAATGATATTCACTTGCTTCGCCTAGTTTTTCAATTCACTAAACTCTTTGATGAAATAAATAATATTTTAATAATTAATTTAGATTAAATCGTAACCGGAACCTCTACTATGGGCTATGTTGCTATGCAGTGTCTATGTAGCGCGGCAGTATCTTTATTATATGAGGTTGTAAACATCATAGAAAACTCCCATAATAAAATGTTTATTTGTTTATTATAAAATAATAACGTGCAACAGCAGACACCACCATTCATCCACACCCTTACTCGCGTTCATCCACCATTCATCCTCACCCCGACTCGCGTTCATCCACCATTCATCCACACCCCGACTCGCGTTCATCCACCATTCATCCCAACACCGACTCGCGTTCATCCACCATTCATCCCCACCCCGACTCGCGTTCATCCACCATTCATCCTCACTCCGACTCGCGTTCATCCACCATTCATCCTCACCCCGACTCGCGTTCATCCACCATTCATCCATTCAATTGGAGCCTTCGTGTTTTTTTGTGTGGTCTGTAATATTTGGTGTAGTCTGTTGATCAATTCTCATTTGTAAGAGATGGACCGTCTATGCGTTCAAGAAATCAATTCAATGTGAAATTGATTGAAATTTTTTATGTAGCATTACTCGAATACGAGTTTCTCTCCAATAAAGTCGATTGCCGTATTAATTAAAATAATTGAAATAATATCATGTCAATCGCAGCGTTTATCACACCAATAACATCGTGCCGATCGCATCGATTATCGCAACTATAATACTGTTCTTTTAATTTTATCGTATTGAAACGTTTTATCGCGCACATCTTTCAAATTGTATCTACAATACCTACCGCATTTGCGTTATTGTATCTACATTCAGCATCTGAGCCAAAAGCCACAGACCAAGCTGGATTTCCGCAAATCTGCCCAGTTGCTCGCTGATTGAAGCCCGTAAGTCAGCAACCACTGCTTAATCCTGTTCGTTCTTATAGAATGTAAGGCAATCACGCCAACCCATCTGAACATAATCCCAGCACAGCCCTACCTCCACACTTACCCCGACTATCCACCATCTTGCAGCCAATAACTTCATCCACTTCCTCATTTGCCTCCTCACTGCATCCACTCCCACACGCACTTGGCGGGAGATTTTATAAATTTAGTAATTTTTATGTCAAAATGTGTCGCTAGATAAACTAGTGATAACGTTGGACGTCCGAAAACGAGTGAGGTTGTAGCGATAGATGGGCTCATTGCTGGCCGATGCCGCTCACACTGCTGTCTAGCGATAAGATCGGTAATTGAAAAAAACTGTCGCGATTTATAAAATTTTCAACGGACAGCGATAACAACTTAATAGCCCCGATAGCGATAAAAATTCGTGTCTTAACTCATACGAGAGTCGAGTTACTTGCGTAAGCTTGCAGCATCATATAGGCCAGGCTCGTTGCACACGGCGGTGACGAGAATTCTTAAGTCGAAATGGTCCTAATTCTGCCTGCATAATTAAGGACAATGGCAATAATATTAAAAAATATTTCAGGTGTTTATGTATGAAGGAATTGAGTTGTATTCATGCCATGGATTGAAATGAGTTACATTCGTGGAGTGCCAAGGGATTGAGTTATGTAAATAGTCTCGTTAATATAACGAAGAATAATAATTGTTGATTGATCTCCGGTTAAAAATTGTTGACGCATTTTTGTTTCAGGATGATGGCGAAGCCAACAATCGGAATCGACTTCGGCACGGCAAAATGCTGCGTGGCGACCGTCAGGAACAACAAAGCCGAAGTTTTGCCGAACGCAAGAGGGGACAGGACGACCCCCAGCTGGGTGGCCTTCAACGACGTGCAATACCTGGTGGGGGGCGAGGCTAAAGACCAGGCGCTGCACAACCCTAGAAACTCGATTTACGGAGTCAAGAATATTTTGGGAAGAGCTTGTGAGGACGAACGTGCTGTCAGCTATAGAAAAATGTATGCGCCGATCATGACTAAAGACGGAAACCGACCGATGATAACAATTCACCGTAAAGGAGATGTTCTGAAGCTGAGACCAGAACTTGTGGCCGCCATGCTGCTGCTGAGGATGAAGCAGGAAGCTGAAGCAGCGCTGGGGGAGATTGGGGGCGCCGTGGTCTCGGTGCCCGTTTACGCCACCAACGCCCAACGCGAGGCCATTGTGACCGCGTGTAAAATAGCCGACCTGGAGTTGCTGGACCTCATCAGCGAACCGACGGCGACGGCTTTGGTGTACAGGGAGAACCTGAAGGGTTCAATCGACGAAACAACGGCAACATCCTTGGCCAGCAAGGACAACCTTAAAGGTCCCATCAACGAACCAAATGCTTCCACTTTGCCTAACACTAAGAACAAGAATCGTTTAGAGCCTCACAATGTCCTAGTTTTCGACATGGGAGCGGGAAAGCTTGACGCGTCGTTAATAAGTGTCAGCGAAGAAGAGGTGCGAGTGCTGGCAGCGAGTGGGGATGAGGCCTTAGGTGGGGATCATTTGGATTGGAAGTTGTTGGACAAGATTGAAAAGATTGCCAACCTAAAATTCAAAGACAACGAACCCAACGCACCACGGGATTTATTGCGAAGAAAATTTTCTTGCGAGAAAATAAAATTAAATTTGACTCTCTTGAAAGACACGCAAGTAACAAGTGACGACCTGGGCATCGATCATATGGAGTTTAAACACAAGCTTACACGGAATCAATTTGAAGAAACTTTCTCTGGATTTTTGGACGAAAAATTGAAGGCGATTTTAAGTCATCTTATAAAAAAGGCAAATATTTTTAAAGCTGAAGTGAAAAACGTCATCGTAGTCGGAGGCAGCAGTCGGATTCCCAGAGTTCAGCAGATCATTATGGATTTCTTCGGCACAGCCAATCTCAACATGACCGTCAACGCCGATGAAGCTATTGCTGAAGGCGCTGCACTCTGGGCCCATGAACTGGCAAGCCAATCTGTCCATCCTCAGGATATAAGCGAATCCTCAGGCCATCCAACTTGTTTCAATTTAAGAGACTTAGTGCCTGACCCATCAAAGATTCCGGGAGAGAATAATTTGAAGCATTTTATTGAACGTAAGGCTGATACCTCGATCAGTATCAGAGCCCCCAAAAAAGGCAAGAAGGGTTCTGATGGACATAGACAGTACAAGCAAGGAAAGTACGGTATATTTCTAGTTCAATCTCAGGAACTTCCTCTCAAACTTGCCGTATCACTCGGCATGATGCCTCCGTTGTTCAAAAATCAGGTCTCCGAAGCAGTGGCATGGCTAGGTCAACTTGAGACAGAACGAGGAAACTATATGAAGCAGTTGGAAGTTGCAGACGAGCTTGAACATTTCTGTTATGATTTTAGGAGCAAACTCAATTCTTTGCTAGCATCCACAGAAGAGGTCATCGAATTTCTAAGCGCCATTGATGGTATGGTCGAAAAAGATGCCGAGAAAATTAAGAATGGGCTACTTGAGAAATTGCGCAAGCTGTCGACACTTGATGAAAATCATGTTGACAATGAATCAAGTTTGTCGAAGAACGAAGAGGATAACGGCGACTGTCCCTTGGTGCCAAAAGATGCTGACTCTAAAATCCGTGGTACAGATAGAGAAAAGGTGCACTTTAGCGCAGATATGTCAGATGATGATTACGAAAATTCGGAAGATCATCATAGGGAAAAAATCGATGAACCCGTCTGTACAGTGGCAGAAAATAGAAATGAAACTATATCCCATGAAGTCAGGAGGAAGAACAACAAATCTGAACATCCCAAAGTTGACGGCAAACAAGTGACGTGCGTGAACGCCAGTTCTGACCAATTAGAAGCTAATGGTAAAGACAAACCAATGGCAGAAGTGAATGCCTTCTCTGACCATACCAACGTTGACAGTAGAGTCAGTCAAGTAGCAGGTATCAACGCCAGTTCTGACCAAGCGGACGGTGATGGCAGAGGCAGTCAACAAGCATGTATGAACTCCAGTTTTGACCAACCCAAAGTTCATGTCATAAGCGATCAAGATGCAGATACGAACGCCAGTTCTGTCAAAGCCAAAGCTCATGGCAGTGGCGCTACATCCACAGATGACAACGCAGTTGCCCACCAAACACACGCTGATATTGGATGCAAACTATTCACAGGTGACCGAGCACACCTTGGTCAGCACACCGGTGCTGACCAAGCTAAAGTTGACAGAAGATGCAAAATATTTGCAGGTGGGAATGCCAGTTCTGATCAATTCAAATCTGACGGCAAAAGCGGTCAGATTGAATGTGAGAACGCTAGTTCTGCCCAAGCTGAATGTGATGGCAGAGATGTAACAATGACAGGCGCGAACGCTGGTGCGGACAAAATGAACGATGAAGGTAAAGGTGCACCAGTGGCAGGTCGGAATGGCGAAGCGATCCACACCAATCATGATGATAAATTCGCACCAGAAAAAATTGGGACCGCCTGGGCTGACCAAGCCAACGCTGATGGTAGCTGTGCATTAGGGACGAACTACGACCAGAGTTCGTCGCCACTCGTTTTGATAAAAGCTGGTCAAAAGGTTCTGCCTTCTGTGGCTGAGTGTATGGAGCACAGCCATCGGAGCAATGAAAAGATTGGGGAGCATTCAACAATGGATGCAATAAGACATTCTGTATCAGATCAATGCCCAGAGATACCTCAATCAAATGAAATAAAAACTGAACAAGATCCTGAAATGAACATGAACGACTGTGGATCAAGAACCAGCGTGGCTCGACCCAAAGCTGATAATTCCCAGAAGGATGAGTTGATGGAAGCAACTGAAAATTGTGAATTTAATCGGGCAGAAACCCCATCTCATGGTTTTCAAATTAACCGTAACACCGATCCAAGGTTTTACAACGAAGTGTATGGAAGCATCAACTTCTTGAAAAATCTTCTAAGAGAGGAAAATATTTTCTTATATACGTACATTTTTCCGATGCACACAAGGGCTCTGGAATGTTTGCAGTGGTTGCTGCATCGAGCGAATCAGCTCGACACTAAACTCCAGCGAGAAATTTTATACATTTGCCGCATTATTATCAATCAATTATTTTTCCGAATGGCTCATAATCCGAATTTGATTCCTTGTCCTGACTTTAATGCACATTATAATATTCACAGATGGCTTTATTGAACATTGCTGTTAGCTCGAAACACCTTTTGAAAAATTATATATTCCCAGAATAAAGCAGCTATTGTTCAAATACCGATAATGCCCTCCACGAATAAGACACATTCATTTGTCAGTTGTAACTTTTAACTGCCGTGTAGCACCGCTTCACGTAATGCTTTTAAAATTCATTTGTGAATAAATACACAACTGAATCGGAATCATTTCTCGATTATAAATCAAGGCTGCAGATTGTCTTTAGAGGTCTAAATCGAACCTGATATCAATAGTGCACTATATGAAAGAGATCTATTATCATGCATAAATTATTTACCTCTAATAAGTATAGTCTATATTGTGAAATTTTGGGTATTACTTACACAACGATGTCAATGATTAAGCAACACTACCGTATATGAAGACGTTACTGCTTAACTAAGTCCAATTCCTGAAGATAATTACAGTTGCGGTAAAGTGGTAACAATTATTTAATAAACATGGGGCATTGAGGCAGATTCGCAAAAGTAATTACCATCTATGCATGTTAGTGAATAATTATTCAGACATTTTAAGAAAGCCTCCTATCGTTGACATGAAGCTGGGAGTTACAAGTGTCCTAAAACTACGAATGCCGTTATCAGTTCTGAGAACCTGGCCCGTGTTTTCGACATTACCCGAATGACTTGTACTCAGATAAATGCATGCGTTATTTGTCTTAATAGCGACGCACATATTGCCCGTGACAATAATACGTTGATTTTCGGGGCCGAACTGGGTCAGCGCCAATGATCAACACAATCGAACAGAGGCATTATAATTTGGACAATATCTCTGATTTTTCTGTGCGTGAATTAAACTTGTATCAATGTTTAGGTGTCCAATGTACGGATTTATGTTATGGTTTGTAATGTTAAGTAAGTAGGCGGTATAATTTACGACAGGTATCCAGCGATTATGAAGCTAATTTAAAGATATAAATTATCAGGATTATAAGACACATTGGATACAATAAATTTAGTAAGATCACTTAAATATATTAGGAATACCAAGAAAAATAGAAGTTTTTTAGTTATGCCAATACACTGATTTTTTATTGTACTGATGCGAAATTCTTGCGATGTTCGTATTTTGAAGCAGCGAAGGCTGGACAATGGGACTATTGTGATCATTTATCTTGATCATTCATGTATGCAGAAGTGCAGCGATATTGCAATTCAGTTAGCATTTATTTTTTTATGAAAATGACTGTAAATTCATTCACTGTTGATCAATAAGGAATTTAAAAGCAAAGAAAACGCCAAGCGAATTCACCATATCGATATTGAAAACGTTTCAGAGTCCAGCTCCATCATCAGTTCGACAATCTTAAATTCCTTTCTTTGCTTTTAAATTCCTTGTGAACTTGCAATATAAGCAGACTGATAAGTACTGTTGATCAATTTCAAGTAATTTACCAGCAGTGCAAAAAAATGGACTATTTCCTAATTAATCAATATATTATCTAACCAATCGGCATGATAATTTCATTACTGATTCACTAACTCGATACTCGAAATTTCAAGTAGATTCTTCGATTGAAATTCGCTTATTCCAATAATTGATGAATGACTGAAAAATGCTGCATCAACTATATCCCCTGATGTATCAACACACCTCCCATGATGCCATCCCCTTTTTCCTTTTGCTTTAAAATTAGTGAAACAAAAAAAAAATCGAAAAAGCGAACTTCCTTTTTCTGTACCAAATTATTGGTTAATTTGCAATATATGTAAATTAATGTTGTACATTTCCCATCACGCGTGGAAAATGCGTACGAATGTCATGCGCACGCGCCAAACATTCGTTAGCAACATGTACATTTTGGGACATCTATGTGATTACATTGTATATCTGCTGGTTAAAGACGTTGAATTCTTACTTGGATCAACTATTTCTTCAAAGGAGATAAACGAGTGACCATAAACAAATGAGATGTTTTTTCTTGACATTGAAGTGTAATAAATGAAGTGTAATCAAGATATTGAATAAAAAATACGATGATTTTCTCTAATGGTATAATTTCCTTCAAATTGGTTGAGAATTTTGCTTTACATTATAACGTAATCCAAACAATTTACGGCTAGTTCCTCTTCGCATCGATAATATATTTTAATATTAAATTGAGTTATTTTAATTATTTAATTTTTTTGATATCTTATGCAATTATTATCTGAAAAAATGCGAAGTATAAATTTTATTAACTTCACTCAAACTCTGCCTGAGGAAAATATTAATGCTGATATTTAAAGATATACAATTAAAAATAAAATAATGAACTCCGTAAATAAAACTGCTGTAATGGATTATATATTTACCACAGAAGTGCTTACGTTTTTATCGCATATTTAAACATGCCCTAATTAAAAATAAAATAATGAACATCGCAAATAAAACTGCTATAAGAGAAATGGATTACATATTTACCACAAAAGCGCCTACGTTTTTATCGCAAATTAACACGTGCCCTAATTAAAAATAAAATTATGATTCAATTCATTCAAAATAAAGATTCAATAATTCAATATAACTACATCCTAGATCCCGCAAATTAAACTGCAGTATTAGAAATGAATTAAATGTTTATTATAAAAGCGCCCACGTTATATCACCAACTTAACGTGCCCCACCAAATGCATATATGCAGAGGGGAGTCTGATTGATGTTTGTTGATTCTATTCGTACTTGAAGCCGCGGTCCCGAAAGTTACCCTCGGAATACCGAGGGTTAAACTGCGTCTACGACCACCCACACTCAAGGAAATGAGGGGGAGTTTGTCCAACTAGCGAATCACTTATTTACGTGTGTCGGTTAGCCTGACCCAGGGCCATACTTTCAAAACTCGCTAAGTGAACGTAAGTACTTACGCTCTATTTTCTTATCTTTTATTGGTGGATTTTGCTTGAAAGGCCGTCAATGATTGGCTGATGAACTTACGATCTCTTAACTTTTTTTTGAAAGTATGGCCCCCAGTCTGTAAAAGACAAGAGTACGTATCCGCTCTCTGCTCGGGCGCTGCGTACGAAAGAGTGTCACTGTTTTTAGTATTTAGACAATGTGAGCCATTTATTTCCCTGAGGCTCGGTAGTTACGCTAAATAAATTACAGCGTAACTAATTGTTGTGAAGAAATAAAAATAAGATAATGAACGATATTGTGTTCTATCCTATATTCTCATAAATAAATTCTAGTGGAGAAAATCTCATGCCAACAATGGCGTGTAATAAAATGCTTCCTCTTAAAATGATTTAAGGACAGGCATTTAAATAGGCACAGTATTTTTAATTACAAACTAATAACACATATACGAACTAATAAAAATTGAATCCGAGTTACTACATTAATTTAATTACGCAGGATAACAAGGTGCCAGCTTAAGAGAACAATTATGCACAACATAATGCACCGTATTTTTCAAGGCTAATTTCTTGGACTAAAATTCGGGACTCGACCTGATTATTCCATTGCAACACCACTGAGAGATTCCTTCAACTTTATAATAAATTGTTTACTTGCAATTGTATTTAAAATTATTTTAGTAAATAATTTGTTTATTATTAAATTTGAATAATACGAACGAAAAAGTAAATCTATTAAGTGAATAATTGAATCAAAATTTCTCGATGCGACTCTCGAAAAAAAGATGGTGTAAAATTATGTAATTGATAACAAAATGGTAGACTCGCGAGCTTCATGTCGCTGCGTCACATACGAGTTTATGATGAAATTAATACGAGTTTTTTAATGGGGAGAGGAGGTCACTGGGTCCGCAGTCAAATGAAATCTATTTGTGTGGAAAAATGACCACATAAATTAGCGGCGATATTTTAGAAATGACCAGAAAGTTTTCTGTAAAATCTACGTTGAATTAAAGTCAATTTTTTTTTTGTTTGATTAAAAAATATATAAAAATATATAACGTTATCCTCGTTAGATATCAAAATTTTTTAGTGTTGCGATAGTGTACACTTATTGCAGTTATATTCTCTGTAGAGAAATTTCATTGATCGTTTCAAGTAACGCGTATGGGACGAGTTTGATCAGCGGTCATGTTTGGGAGACGTTGCTTGGATACAGAAATGCGCGGCAACAGCGATGCCAAATATCAAGATATTCCTCGGGCGCTGAAATTCTTACGATACAATGGAATTGGGAGTGAAAAATTTTATATTTGCATAAATAGTTAACATTTTCACTTGAAAAATTAATAGATATTTATTACCTGTTGAAGATGAACTGAATAAACGTATTAGTTTATATTTCTGTGCAAACAGAGATTCTTCTTGACAAACCCAAGATATTCTGTACCAGCGAACGCGCTCATTACAAGCTAACGCGTTGGTGGACGAGGAGGTTCATTTCAAGCGACAGTGAGGTAATGGTGAAACATTTACAGTACAATTAATGATAATTAAAAGTGAGATAATCTCCTAAACAATTAATAATATTTGAGTTTGTAGAGTGGTAACCGGATATGCATTTAGCTTGGTACAACAAGTTCTGATGCCGAATGGACGAAACGAAATTGTTAAGAAAAAAGTGATCTCTTTTACTTGCGGGGAGTGAGAATCGTACTAATTTTTGAAAAAGATCTGAATTTTAATGCAGTTTTATGTGATTCGTTAACATGGTAATTTACATGATAATTACATGATTTGCATGATGAATTTCAATACAGTTTTATGCAATTGATTTACATGATAATTTATATGATAGTTACATGATTTACCTGGTCTAAATGATGAATTTCATACAGTTTTATGTAATTAATTGACATAATAATTACATGATTTACATAGTGAATTTCAACACAATTTTGTGTAATTGATTTACATGATAATATAAGCTACCTGCTATGGTCCAAAACGTCAAAAATTCATCACATTTACACTAGAAAATACATTTAAATCTGAGAAATGTGTGAGTCATTGTCCAAATAGCGATGGGGCTCATCCTGACAGAATTCAGCCCTGGGTTCAAGACCTCACGGAGAAATGGTGTCACTTTTTTGGTAATTTTGGTAATGCGCAATATGAGCCATCCATTTTTCCAAAAGAGTGACCTCGATTTCAATTGTCTGTTTACTAGTACCAAAATACTAGTCATTAATTTACTTTGTGTTAGGAACGAAATATTTTTAATGTGTAGGCTTAATCCTGTCTTTTATATTTCAGGGAGATGGTGAAGCCAACAATCGGCATTGACTTCGGCACGGCAAAATGCTGCGTGGCGACCGTCAGGAACGGCAAAGCCGAAGTTTTGCCGAACGCCAGAGGGGACAAGACGACCCCCAGCTGGGTGGCCTTCAACGACGTGCAATACCTAGTGGGGGGCGAGGCTAAAGACCAGGCGCTGCACAACCCTAGAAACTCGATTTACGGAGTCAAAAATATTTTGGGAAGAGCTTATGAAGACGAACGTGCTATCAGCTATAGAAAAATGAATGCGCCGATAATGACTAAAGACGGGAACCGACCGATGATAACAATTCAACGGGAAGAGAAGGTTATGAAGCTGAGACCAGAACTTGTGGCCGCCATGCTGCTGCTGAGGATGAAGCAGGATACCTGGAGTTGCTGGACCTCATCAGCGAACCGACGGCGACGGCTTTGGTGTACAGGGAGAACCTGAAGGGTTCAATCGACGAAACAACGGCAACAGCCTTGGCCAGCAAGGACAAACTTAATGGTACCACCAACGAACCAAATGCTTCCAATCTGCGCAACACCAAGAACCAGAATAGTTTACAGCCTCACAATGTCTTAGTTTTCGACATGGGAGCGGGGAAGCTTGACGCGTCAATAATAAGTGTCAGCGAAAATGAAGTGCGAGTGCTGGCAGCGAGTGGGGATGAGGCCTTAGGTGGGGATCATTTGGATTGGAAGTTGCTGGACAAGATTGAAAAGATTACCAATCTGAAATTCAAAGAAAACGAACCTAACGCACCAAGGGACTTGTTGCGAAGGAAATTTTCTTGCGAGCAAATAAAATCAAATTTGACTCTCCTGAAAGACACGCAAGTAACAAGTGACGACCTGGGCATCGATCACAAGGAGTTTGAGCGTGAAGTTACACGGAAGCAATTTGAAGAAACTGTCTCTGGATTGTTGGACGAAAAATTGGAGGCGATATTCAGTCACCTTATCAAAAAAGCAAATATGTTCAAAACTGAAGTAAAAGAAGTCATCGTAGTAGGAGGCAGCAGTCGGATTCCAAGAGTTCAGCAGATCGTTATGGATTTCTTTGAGATAACAAAACTCAATATGACCGTCAACGCGGATGAA